ATACATCTAATGAGTGGAGTCGCTGTTCCTCCCTGTTCACATACGGTTTAGGGTAGAACACCAGCAAAAAAACTGCTTGACTGCAATGGAACTGAGATACAACTTTTGGGAGGAACGATGGGTGCAGTCTCAATTGGACCTTGTCTTTAAAAAGAGACATATATGGGGGTGCCAAAATGAGGGTTTCAGAGATCTGAACTTGTCTGGCTGAGGTGATGGCCACTATTTTCCAAGAGAGGTGTAGCAGTGAGCATGTTGCCAATGGTTCAAACAGGGGTCCTGGAAAACTTTGACAGGACCAGATTTAGATCCCAGAGAGAGGTGGGATCCCTGACCTGTGGGTACACCCTCTCCAGGCCCTTAAGGAACCTGACTACTATGTCATGTGAAAAGACCTAACGACTGTCGACCTTGGGATGGAAAGCTGAGATGGCTGCTAGCCCTTTCTGTCTTAAAAGCAGGTAGACTAGAAAGAGCTGCAGACATGAAGAAGACTTAAAAGCAGGCAGACTGCTTCCTAACATAGGGAGGAAGAATGTGCACCCTCCTGCCTGTTTATGTAGAACATGGCCATCGTATTGTCAGTAAGGACTGAAACAGATTTGCCTGTCAAGTGGGTGTACTGCCCTGAGTTCCCTGACATTGATTTGCAGGGAGAGTTCTTCTTGGGTCTTATGTTCTGATAGGCCCTAAGTGGGCCCCCCAGCCAAGGGCCAATGCATTGCATGACAGCGACAGGGATAGGCAAGGTCTCGAGAAGGGGACCCCTTCACATAGTGTGCTCCTGTCCAGCCACCGTTGTAGTGAGGTTAGGACCTGGGCCGGGACTATGAGAACCGAGTCCAGGGGGTGACGAGAGGGGGAGCAGACTGTGGTTAGCCAGGCTTGCAGAGGCCTGAGTCGGAGCCTTGTGTGCTGTAGTAGGTAGGTGCAGAACGCAATGTGGCTCAGGAGGCTCAGACACTGTTATGCGGTCATGATCAGATGGCTTTGGAGAGATCTTAACAGGGACGTGATTCTGAGGAACCAGTCCTTCGGAAGTACAGCTCTCGCTTGCACCGACTCAAGTACTGCCCCTATGAACTCTATCCTGTGGACCGGGATTAGGGTGGACTTCTGGAAGTCCAATGCATTGAAGCTTGATTGGATGATCCATTTGTCGATCTTTATTTGAGCTCTGGACCAGCCCTTGATCAGCCAGTTGTCGAGGTATAGGAATATGTGGACTCCCGTTTTCCTTATAAAGGTCACTACTACAGCTACACATTTTGTGAAAACCCGTGAGGCAGCTGAAACTGGTATTGATTTTGGTTTGCTACAAACCTTAGGAAAGGTCTGTGACCAAGGAAAATTGCAATATGGAAGTAAGCGTCCTTTAGATCAAGGGTGGCATACCAATCCCCAGGATCCAGCGAGGATCTGTTGGTCCTGCCTGGCTGTCTGAAGTAACTGCTGCGGTCTGCATTGTTTTCTTGTACCTGCCAGTACACAGAGACCCAAGCACTTCAAAGTTGCCTTTGAGTCCTTAAGGGCAGGCAGCCTAGCATCCATCTGCTCTGAGAAGAGCGACAAACCCTCGAAAGGGAGGTCCTGGATGGTGTGTTGCACCTCCTGAGGAAGCCCCGATGATTGCAACCAGGAGCTCCTACATATCGTCACAGTGGTCACCATTGATCTGGCCACAGAGGTAACAGTGTCCAAGGCTGCTTGTAGGGAGGCCCAGGATACCATTTTTTCTTCCTCGACAAGGGAGGAAAAAACTCTTGTCTGGAGTCCTGGGGAAGAAGGTGATTGAATTTGAGCAACAACTCCCACATGTTGAAGTTGTAGCACCCCAGCAAGGCCTGCTGGTTTACTATATGCAGTTGCAGGAACCCTGAGGAGTAGGCCTTGCGCCCAAAGGGGTCCAGCCTTTTAGGGTCCTTCAACTTGGGAATAGAGCCCGGTTGACCCTGGCGGTCTCATTCATTGGCTGCCGCAACCACCAATGATCCCGGGGGTGTGTGAAAAGGAACTCGTACCCCTTAGCCAGAACAAAGTATTTACACTGAGCGTTTTGCTGTTGGCGGAAGGGAGGCAGGGGTTTGCTGAAAGGCCTTAATAGAGTCCGTGATGGTGTCATGTAGCAGTAGGCCCACTCTGGATGGACCCACTGGTGACAGGATGTCTAGGAGGCCATGTGTCACCTACTTAACCACCTCCACTTGGACCCCTAGGTTTGAGGCTACCCGCTTCAAAAGGTCTTGACACGACTTATGGTCATCCGGCAGTGTAAACTCCAGGAGCCATGTGGCCTCATCCGGAGAGGACGATGAGGAGGCTAAAACCAGATGGGGAGCCTCTATCAGTCCCAGCAGGGGCCTGCGGGTATTCCTCCTGGGGTTTGGTACCATGTTCGGTACTAGAGTCCAGTTCCGGGGTGTGTCTGTGCAGTACTGGGGGTGCCCTGGCCTCCAACACAACAAAAAAGATCATCTTGAAGGGGTCCCTGGAAGCAGTGGGAACCTAAAAGGGCCACTGCATGGTGGTTGGGCCCTATGGGTAGAGGTTCCGATGAGCTCGGTGCCATGAAAGAGTGGGAGTGGCCCGGGGAGCAGCATGGTCAGCCGCTTCGGCAATAGGAATATGCTTCCTCCTCTGAGTCTGATGAAAAGGACAAGGAGGTGCGCCGCAGAAACCAGGGCGGAGCCATGCCACTAGGTGCCAGAGAAGATCACCTGGGGAACCTTGATGCTGTCAGTGCTGGCTTCCCTTTTAGACAGCTGGCGTGATGCCAGTCTATGTGCCAGCACAAACTCCCTGCTGCTTGGGGACATCAGCCTGACCCTTTGGGGAGCCCGGTACTGGCAGGATGATAAGATCCCTTGCAGTTGTAAACCCTTCGGGGGTCGATAGGACCGCAAATTGACCAGTATGCTGGTCTTGAGTGGGAGTCATAGGACACTACTGAACCAGGGCAGTGGGCACCTGACGATGCAGTGCCAGGGATGAAGAACAGCCCGACACAGGTCTTGCTCTGTCCCTGTCCTCCTTTTCCTTAGGCACCAGAGACCAGCTCTTCGCCAAGTGCTTGCAGTGTTTCTTCTTAGGCACCAGCGAAGATAATTGGTGCCGAGGAGCACTCAGAGATGGAGGAGCACTCTGCACCAAGGCTGAGGTGCTCAGTGCCAAGTCCAACCGCGGCTCCAAGGCCGGTCTTAAGGCTGCCTCCATGAGTAGGTCCTTCAAGTAAACAGCGTGGTTTTTCTGGGACCAAGGCTTAAACGCCTTACAAATTAGACAACGGTCTTTCCTATGAGTTTCCCCTAAGCACGAGACAGCTCGAGTGTGGGTCGCTCAAAGGCATAGACTTGTTGCATGCAGCACAAGGTTGAAACCCCGTCAACCGAGGCATGCCTCGGCACCAGGACGAAGGACAAAGCTGCTATCTAAAACTAACAAACTACTAACAATTTACACTAAAATTTGAGAAAAACCATTAAGGGATGAGATTGCCTAAGCAATGAGAGGCTCCAGCAACTGTCATGGGCGGTAAGAAGGAACTGAAGGATGGCAGGGTCAGCAAGGCCTTATACCAGTGTGCAATGCCAGAAGGCGCCAGAGCCAACCCAATGGATACTCCCATGGGAAAATTTCTGGCAACTGTGTGGGCGCACAAATACTTACACTGAAATGGACACGTGCAAGCATCAAAGAAGAAGGAGTATTTTCCCACCAAAATTGAAGTTAGAATAGTGGTGGTCATCACAATTATACAAGCCTGCTTTTTTGCCAGACCCAGCTTCAAAAATGAAAATGGAAACTGTCAGTCCCAGCATCCCCATACTTTTTCAGAGCTCCTGGGGTGTTCTTTTCCTACAGTTCCTTAGCAATTCCACAAGAGGCCTGGGGCACGCAAGAGCCTCAAGTTTGATGGAACAGTGAAGAAAGGAGATATGGCAGGGCAGCACGGAAGTGGCATGCAGGCAGCACAGAGTGGGGAAGGAGGCCTGGGGGCAACAGCAGAGCAGGGGCCATTTCACTTCCACTGCAGCCCTTAAGCAGATTCCATATGGACTCATCAGAGCCTCACACCGCTGCCTCCTACAAGCCTTAGATTAGTTTAGAGGCTTCCCTCCTGCATGCAATCCTCACTAGGCTTATTAGGAGTCTCACAGTCACTCCTAGGAGTTTAATAAGCATTGGTAGCCTAAAGCTCCTGGGGTGCCTAAAGGCTTGCAGAGGGTGGGGGAGCTCCCAAAAATCCTCGTAAGATACCCTGTCAGAACTCTACTCCTGTGAAACTCCTTAGATTCACATGAGAGAGGCTCCCCTGCAAAAGTTCTCAAGAGGTGCACAGGATTAGGGCTCCCTTCCTGCAGATCTCAGGAAGTCTGCAGAAACAGTGGCAAGTGTTGGTTCCACACCCCATGCCTTCTCTTCCTGTCTGATGTTATGACTATTTTAAAAACTAAAGTAACTCCCAAACAAAAACTCTGTAGAGATTAAATTATGATAGACACACATCTGTGAAAATCCTTACACGAACATTGTCATTAGCAAAATAAAGGTATTAAAAGTCTGGAAGTTTGAAATAGTAAAGTAAGTTTACCTTTGACTTTCTACTTCTTCAAGTATTTGTATTTAAATTTTACCTCTACTCTGAATTTCCTTTTTAAAAAGGTTGGTTTTTCCCAACAATGTTCTTTGTACAGTGTTTTATCCTTAAGTTACTGAAATATTCTCTCAACTTTAACTTCATCTTAACTTCTTTTGTGTCTGGAAATTAATTAACAGATATTTTTAATGCAAGAGGATATTATTAAGCCTTCCCCATTTGTGGCAATTGCAGAGATGACAAAGGAGGAGGGTGAGAAGAATAGCTCAGAAGGTCCCCATATTAACACCTCTATGTACAATTTTATAATTACAAAAGTTACACAACTTAAAAGTTTTATTAAACATATGTAACAGTGTAACTTCAGAGTGTTTTGCAGTACCCTATATATGAACATTCTTACCTTTTTAGCTTCTTTAGACTTTCTAATATTGTGTTGAGGGCCAAACTTCTTGTGTGTGCAAAAAACATTCTTAGACCATTCATTTGTATGGGATGTTAATTGGGGCTGACCAAAGCTGCCATCAACTCTATATCTGTCAGCTGGAATCTTATTCATTGGAGGGGGAAGAGTACCACAGTTAATACTTGACCAGCCATCTGTAGAATCTGTATAAGACTCCTGGTCACTGGCATTTCCATGTTGCCATTCTTGTAAGACATGAACAGGCAACCATCTCTGATTGCCTATGCCTACAATACTTTTCTTGGATGGCGGCACTGAATTTCGAGAAGAAACTAGTGGAACTTCAATACGAGCTGAAGGACTTAAGTGCTTACTTAAATTTTGTGATTTGTCATTCTGAATTATTTCTAAATGAGTGTTTCCTTCTTGTTCTTGACAGAAGCCATTCCAATGGGAAGCATGTTGATTCTGTCCCCTTCCAACTGGATTTTCCCATATACTATTAGGAATATGTTTACTTGGATTGCCTCCTAAATCAACCACCAAAACTCTATTGCTTTTTTCTTCTTGGTTAAAATTTCCAATACCACTATCACTGTTGCTGCTTGTACTGTTATTCTGATGAGCATCTGCATCGCCATCAAGAAAAGCTCTTGCTCGCATTCCCTCAATCAGCTCACCCATATCCCTATAGAGGACAGAGATAAATTGAAGAACAGGTAGAGATGACGTTGGAAATTCTAAACAGCCATTTGTGTCTGGATCTGCCGTACACTCCAGTCCAAAACGTCTTGCTATACCTTGGTGAATTTTATGATGAAATAATTCTGGATCCACCATGAACACGTGACAAGATGTCCTCAGAACCCCTTCATCTTCCTGAGCCAAGCTTGCATCATCATTTGTCTGCATGGTAACTAGCCCAAAAAATCTTCTATCATCAGGGCACACAGCACTAAATGCCAGTTTCTCTGCAGGATATTCTGCCACTACACCAGACTTGTCACTGCAGAGCTGAATACAGTCATGCATAATCTTCATCATCACCAATGAATGGATTTTCTGTTCTGCCCGAAGGCGTCTCATACATCCCCGAATAGCCTGCAAACTGTCATTTTCCAGATTTGAGCTTGTTGAAGGAAGTTCAATCGAGCCTAGGTAACCTACCACCATAGCAACATTTAAAATACTTGCATCTAACCCAAAGTCTTCTGGATTTTCCAGTCCAATTTGAAAAACTGAATCATCATGCAACACTTTGGATATTTCTTCCTTTGAAAGTAGATTAGGATTGTTATTTATACTTTCATGTCCAGTTTCAAATTTAGTAGCAGCAGTCTCAGAAAGGGATCTTTGTTTTGGTACTGAATTCTCTGCATTACCAGCATAAAAACTAGGATTTTCAAAGATCATGTTGAAAATTCCACCAGATTGCATTTCTTCAACAACCTTCTCCGCTCTATTTATACCCAAGGCTTTAGAGTCAGGCTTTGGCTTCAGCCATCCTTTCCCATCATAAAAACCAACTTCTTCATCACTAGAACATGAGTCAATATGACTGTTGCCTTCAGCAATGACCATGTGCAAGACTCCAGAACATTTTCCTATTAGTTTCACCACATCTTCATGAGAAGCTTGTTTTACATTAATTTCATTAATTGCAAATATTTGATCTCCTGCTTTAAGTCCCACATAATCTGCAGGACTTCCTTTCATAACGCAGCTAAGAACACAGGGAGCTTGTCCAGAAAGGGTGAACCCATAGCCAGCTCTTCCTCTTGCAACTTCCACACTTCTTATCCGAGGAGGAGCATGCATATTGAGTCGGCGTTTCACTGTTTCCCCTGGTCTATACATTTTGGTTAATCTCTGGAACAGGAGGAGCCCTTAATTAGTGCAATTCTTATTCATGTTTCACTTAGGTGCTTTCCTGGCATCCCAGTTCCTTCATCTGCAGAAGTCCTAAAGAATAAATAAATAAAAATTGATTTAATACTTGATATTTTCCTTTTTTGTTCTTCTTAGTGTTTGGGAATACATTTATCAAAATTACTATAAAAGATATCAAAATAATTAAATATTGGCATAGGATCATGATCTCTTGCTACTTTATTAATACCAAAGCAAAGCTGAACAATTGTGGTGGACAGACCTCAACGTTGATGCAAAAATTACATTGATACAATTATAACTTTTAAAATATTAAGTTGTTACAACTTGTTTACTGAACGTTAAGATATAGCTACAACAGGGCCCGCCCAATTTTTTGACAGAACAACCCCATTTTAATTACGTTTCCTGATGGAACCCCAGAAAGCAAGGACAACACCATTTTGAAAAGCAAAATCGTGTCCTCTCTCAGCGTGATCTTGCATGCACCATATTCGAGAGGTCATGTTGAGCGGAGCAAAATGGCGTCCTTTGCACATTAGAGATCACCATGACCCCATATGCTGATAGCATGACCCCATTTGAGATCATGACCCACAGTTTGGGAACCACTGAGCCACAAGTATGTTATAGCCATAATAATTGAAAATAGGACAACACATATTATGTTTAGCTAGTTATGTTGCAAAATGCTAAAGTTAACCAAAGAAATTTCAGAATTGATGCTATCACCCACGGACGAGCACATGTCAGAAAAGATAGCCCTCCCTAGCCGTAAAACCATGGTTTTTACCCCACGAGTAGCTGCATTTTAAACTTTACCTTGCTTTATCTTTATACCGTTTTCTTTTGCTGTATTTAAAAGATGGATTGGTTATTTAAATTTGTGCTTTGTACAAAATAGTTAATAGAAGTTTAATTGCTATAACAAACAGATTGTAACTCTCTGGAGCTTAGTCAAGGGACAAACCCCTAAAAGTGTCTTATCTAGACCAGGATACCTCCCTTTCTGTAAAATACCAGCTTGATACAAACGTAATCCTTATTTCAAGAAGACAAACTATGTACAACATTCATGTTTTAGGAAGAGACCTGATTGTGAAAAGAAACTTAGGATGCATTAATAAACCTGGGTAAAACTACACAAAGAATTCTAGAAATATCTTTGATGAAAATAATTTTATAATTATTCTAAAAACTTGATTCAGAGAAGTCTCTAGGAAAAACATGTAGTTGGATGTGTTTAAAACCTTATATGTTTATTTCTTATACGTTGAAATGACAAACACCTTTGTGAAATGTATACTTGCAAATATGTTAGCTAAACAAAAAGCTCCTAATATAATTACTATGTAATAGTAAAATGCTTTATGTACCAGCACAGAATGTAATGACCTTACTAAACTAATTACTAATGTAAGAATATTTAAATATAGAATATTTATATTAATAGGAAAATTAATTACTCACAGTGCTCAAGCAACTCTCACCCAACTCAGGAAGACAAGAAGAATAATCTTTCCAAAAACTGCCATGTAGAATAAACAACTTTTTTTAAATAACTATTTAAACTAATGACTCTCTTTAAGAATTATTTAATATTGAAAGACTGTTTTAAAAACTGAAAACTTTATATAAAGAACAGGCGTGTTTGGACTTTTCAGAAACAGAATTTCATTTCCTGTTAAACTGTTAAAATTGAAGAAACATCTCAGAAAATTGACTGAATAAAAAGACAGTTAAAACTACCTTTAAAAGTTGTCTGATGCTTTTCTGCCACAAAAACAAAATCAATTAGAAACATTGTGCATTCATTAAACAGACTGCATATTCAAGAGCTGAAGGTGTCACCTAAACCAACCCCCAAGTAATGGAGCCAATGAGTGACAGCAACAAGCTTTGAATCTAAAGAAGCCTGAAAGAGGTGTGTTTTCCTATAATTTCATGGAAATAGGAAGAAGGGTATAAAATCTCTGAAGTGAGCACTTCTCAGACACACACAACCTCTGCTATCCTGCTTAAACAGCAAGCACTTATCAGTATATCCTGTCCATCTCTACAAGCAAGCTGCCATAAGAGCTAAGAAAAACGGAGAAGACTAAGAAGAAACCAAAACCAAGGAAACCTCCCAACATTTCAACATGGATTGGTGAGAAAAAGTTAACTAAGACACTGACAAGGGATTAGATTAAAACTCCTATCATTTTACTGGGATATAAAAATGCTGTTGTAACTTAAAATACCAACAGTTTCTCCTGTTAATCACCAAATGATTATTAGTCCATGAATTCTGGGAGGAGATGGGGCTAAATATTAGTAAACAAAAATAGTAGGATATAAGGTTCGTGATATTCATAATTGGCACATCTCAAGACAGCTCCTTAAATGGCTTCTTTTAAGCAACAAATTTAAATATTTTTTTTCAATTTCATAGGATTTAGTTAAGATTGCTTACGTTGCCCATCTATAAACTGACTGGTTGTTGTTCTTATTAATAACTAGACAGGGTACTACCTGCCCGTAAGCAAATTATTTTGCCCATACACTATTTTGCCCAAACAGTTTTTAAGTATCTAGTAAGATACCAAGACTGAATTCACAATAATTTAGGGAAACAATATTCATTGGTCTTAACTTACCAAAGTATGCCCCACCCCCCAAAGGCAGTCCACTTTCAAGGTTATAATTAGGGCTCTACCAAATTCATGGCCATGAAAAACATATCACAGACCTTGAAATCTGGTCTCCCCCTGTGAAATCTGGTCTTTTGTGTGCTTTTACCCTATATTATACAGATTTCACGGGGGAGACCAAAGTATCTCAAATTGGGGGCCCTGACCAAAAAGGGAGCTGCAGGGGGTCACAGTATTGCCACCCTTTCTTCTGCATGCCTTCAGAGCTGGGCAGCTGGAGAGCAGCAGATGTTGGCCGGGCACCCAGCTCTGAAGCAGCGCCCCGCCAGCAGCAGTGCAGAAGTAAGGGTGGCAATATCATACCATACCGTGCCACCCTTACTTCTGCGCTGCTACCTTCAGAGCTGGGCAGCCGGAGAGTGGTGGTTGCTGACTGAAGGCTCAGTTCCGCAGGCAGCAACCCAGAAGTGAGGGTGACAATACTATACCATGCCATCCTTACTTCTGCACTACTGCTGCTGGTGGCAGCTCTGCTTTCAGAGCTGGGCTCCCAACCAGCAGCAGCTGCTCTCCAGCTGCCCAGCTCTGAAGGCAGCGCCACCACCAGCAGCAGTGGTAAGGGTAGCAGTACCGCAACTCCCCCTACAATAACCTTACGACCCCCCCAAAACTCCTTTGTGGGTCAGGACCCCTACAATTATAACACCATGAAATTTCAGATTTAAATAGCTGAAATTGTGAAATTTGCAATTTTAAAAATCCTTCTGGTCATGAAATTGACCAGAATGGACCATGAATTTGGTAGGGTCATAGTTATAATCTCTGTTAAAAGCTCTCCACAAACACACATACAGAAGAGATTGTAACACAAGTAATCAGTCTATCATTGGTGTACTGTTACTTGTGTTCTTTTATGTTTTGTTTTCCTTTCTAATAAAATAGACATGGTTAATAATTGAGGTTATTTTGCTTGATCTCAATCATGGTGTCCCCTAAGGTATACAAATAAATCCCTGTGACTAAGTTTTCATCTACACTACAAGCTACAGATGTGTGTGACGCTGGCAGACAAAGTGCCAGGCTATGCCAAGGCCCCCAAGTCTCACTGAACACTGACAAATGCATAGCTGGAAACCAATCTGGCTCACCTATGTGTTAGCATTATTAAAATAGATGTTAAGTTTATAAGAATGTATTTAGACTTGATGAAATGCTTGTAGGATGCTGCATGTATTGGTGAGACACGGTGAGTGTATCTTTTATTGGACCAACTTCTGTTGGTGAGAAAGACAAGCTTTCAAGCTTGTCTTGATCTCACTTACAACATTTGTATCCCATGGTATAAAGTTATATTGAGTGTTTGCAGCGTAAGCCTCTGTAACTCACCAACCAGGAAAGAAGCATTAATTAACATAAAGTGCTCATCCTGCACACAAGAAGGCCCAAAGAAACCAAAATGAGCCATTGTGAAACATCGAAGTGTCACAACCCAATTGCCCCTCTCCCCTTAGGGAGTCCCCTGGGAAGGTAGATCAGCACTGTATATTGCTAACACTGTTGCAAGCATTGCAAAGCATTTTGGGGAGGGTTAAAGGTGTGTGAATGGAGAATGGAAGATTCCTTTGCAGGTTTACGAGAGGCCGAGGAGGGGTGGGGGGAAGAAAGAAGAAAGCAGAGAACGGGTTAACTCAACGCTGCAGCTAGCAAGCTCAGTCCGAAGATAAGAAGCTGACTCCAGCCCAAGGCCAGCTGCTACCTACCAAGACAGAAGGGGGAAGTCCAACCCCCCCGCCCAGCCAGGAGAAGAGAAGAAATAAGTTGAGCAGAGCTGCAGAGATAACAGCGAGAACAGTGAGAGCGAATGAAACGGCAACAGCAAAGGCCAACAGAAGGGAAAACAGTCTCCGGAGCCGGGATGTTTTGGGAAACCAGGGAGGCCACAGCAAACCTGTTTGGACTGGTACAAAGAACACCAGGAACAAAAGGCCCTGAACGAACCCCACCCCCAAGGAGCCCAGGACTTAAAAACCCTCCTGAGAGCTAAAGCAACTCGGAGAGCACAGCAGATTCTTGGATGGCCTGGGCCCAAGATAGCACTCCCATCCACCTCCCCCTCCCCCCCCCCCACTTCTTCTGACGTTACACCCAGACTTGGCCAGTCTGGGTTGCACGTGTGGGAGTATGAAAGTGGGTTAGGGCTTGGAGCATTAATGCTTTCTTTCTTCCCCTCAGTGATGTGGGAGCGTTTCCAGCACTCTCTGATGTTATTTTATTATTTTATCAATAAAGGTTTAAAATGTAGACACTTGGTGTGCCTCGTCATCTCCTCCCCAAAAAAGATCCTGTGGCCCAGGCAGATTGGTAACGAAAATCTGTCACAAAAGGACTAAGACTTTGCTGATTGCCCTACACGCACACCCATTAAGAGGAGACGGGGCT